GTCACTTCCACTCATCTAATCTCCAAGGTGACATGTTAGAAACTTGGGACAGCATGTGGATAACCTTTTGTGGACAATACACGTCACATGACCTAATACAGGACATACACATTAAGTCATCGTAATGTCAGCCCTCGAACTCTGGCAAATAATAATATGAAAAAGGAAGGCCACAACTCGAACTTCAAACACCTGGGGTGTCATGGGAAGCTCGTGAAGATTAGGGTTTGGAGTACAGAATGACACCTGTTGAAATCTCGATAAATTCCGAATGGAAGGTAATGAAGAATCATAGCTGTTATTTCTCATTCACCGTAACTAAATATTAAGACAGGTAAAAAACCAGTCATTTCTTAAACAACATGTAACATTATAACTAAGGGGAATAGGTGCAAAGTAACGGTTTCTGTATTAAACAAACATACTGTTACGTATCTGCTTGTTTGTTTGTTTCCGGTAGAAATACTTTCCGAGGATATTCAGCGATACAAGTCCTTTCTTGATTAAACCAGTTTATTCTTCCTCGATACAAACTTTTAGTACACAGAAGTTCCACAATCAGTGCGTTTCTCGTCACTTTAAATTTAACAACTTTTATAATACACGCTATAAATCACAGCGATTCACGATCTCGATAACTTCGCTCTCGGTGAGTGCAAAACACACACTTTACGGCTAACTAGCTCGAAACTAACAGAATCATAAATTACACGGAACTCAAAGTAACTACTGTTCTCCCTTCATTCATCTCCGCTGGCTTTCTCTGCCAGGCTTATATACTAACGAAGAGGGCATCTCGAACACACTCGGACTTCACTGATCATTCGAGAAACTCATCACGCCCGCCAACGCGCCATCAGAGTCACGTGACTTCCGCTGTCGTAACAATACCGAAGCCATCGTCAAAAGGTCTTGTTTAGTTTTTCTCACTCCGAGTTTTATGGTTGACCCTCTCCACAAACAGATTAACACCTATACATGTATAGCTAAAACTTCGCCTTTGACAAGAAGTAATCTGTTAAGATGTATTGTAAGTGTACTTAATACAGAAAATCTTAATATAAGATTATCCACTATGTGTGTAGGCGTTTTAGCATCCATCATTCAGATTGGGTTGGCTTGGTTATCGTAACATTCAAGTAAAGTAACTCGCAACTGACAGCGTACATCGGATATTGCTTTAAGACTTTGGATGGAGAAGGGGGTTAAAGGAAACCCTTAAATAGGGCATATTTACACTTTTTTTTTTTTACAGACTTTTAACTTCTGCCACCCAGAGTTGGCTCCTCGATTACCATAATTTTTAGTATGATAACTGGAACCTGCCCCATGATGTACAAGAGCTATTTTATTTCAGGATTTTTTTTCCCCGAAAAAGAGGGATAAAAAGCCCCTGAAGGAGATTAAATTTCTTATTTTTTTAGACTTTTGGCTTTGAATGTAAAGATACTAATACTTAATCGGTTAAATGAGTAAATTATTATCTTCCACAGAGCATGGTATGCAATTAGCATCTAATGAGACCACTGGGGATTTAATAACAAAAGAAAAAAGGAAGGGAAACATTATCTAACATTGTTGCCCCCCAGTGGCACAGCGGTATGTCTGCGTACTTACAACGCTAGAATCCGGGTTTCGATACCCGTGGTAGGTAGAGCACAGATAGCCCATTGTATAGCTTTGTGCTTAATTACGAACAATCTAACATTGTTATTGTGTGAACGCCTTTTCCAAGCTGGCGAAACATGATTATAATTAAGTATACTTGTCATAAGACATTAGGCCTATTATATTTTTAACATTACATTCTTTATCTAGATCCTTAGGAATTTTCAAGAATTAGGTAATAATAATAATACATAAGAATTCAAGTGGTATTCAATACTCTTGTCATATTCATGCCTAGTTTAAGGATTGTGGTCGTTACTTTTATCCTCCAGTCCTCACATAAGATGGGCATTTCAAAACCTCTGAAAGTACTATTTTACCAGATATTTGGTAAAAATTGAATAATAATGGGTTATTAGACGAGAGCTGAGTATTATCAGATGTTTGATGAAGGCTAAATTTAAACTGGTGTTTGATAAAGACTGATAATGGGTATTAGGCTGCATTAATTATTCAGATATTATATTTAGTTACTATGGTAGAAGCTGATTAAGGGAATTATTATATTAAAGTTATACACAAAATGAAGACGTTAAGAACTTTAAATTTACATAGTAATTGTTATGAATACTCAATGTTGCTGAACATTACAAGAAAATATACAGTGAAGATTGAATATTATTATTTATTTATGTTACTGTAAACCTTATGAAGACTTTATGTTACCATATATATATACATATAATTTTATGAAGAATGAATGTTATTTCAAACTTTTTGATAATAAAGTTAGAGAAAAACACCGCTAAACGTCGGTTAAAATAAAAGTTGTCTTATAATCATCTGGAGTGTAAAGATTGTTGTTGAAGTGTAAAGATTGTTGTTAGAGTGTAAAGATTGTTGTTGAAGTGTAAAGATTGTTGTTAGAGTGTAAAGATTGTTGTTGAAGTGTAAAGGTTGTTGTTAGAGTGTAAAGATTGTTGTTGCTTTACACTTCAACAACAATCTTTACACTCTAACAACAATCTTTACACTTCAACAACAATCTTTACACTCTAACAACAATCTTTACACTTCAACAGCAATCTTTACACCTCAACAACAATCTTTACACTCTAACAACAATCTTTACACTTCAACAACAATCTTTACACTCTAACAACAATCTTTACACTTCAACAACAATCTTTACACTTCAATAACAATATTTACACTTCAACAACAATCTTTACTCTCTAACAGCAATCTTTACACTCTAACAACAATCTTTACACTTCAAGAGCAATCTTTACACCTCAACAACAATCTTTACACTCTAACAACAATCTTTACACTTCAACAACAATCTTTACACTCTAACAACAATCTTTACACTTCAACAACAATCTTTACACTCTAACAACAATCTCTACACTTCAACAACAATCTTTACACTTATTGTTGTTGGAGAGTAAAGATTGTTGTTGGAGAGTAAAGATTGTTGTTGGAGAGTAAAGATTGTTGTTGAAGTGTAAAGATTGTTGTTGAAGTGTAAAGATTGTTGTTTTTTTCTAACTTTATTATCAAAATGTATAAATCCCTCCAGTATACACTACACATTTTGTAAGATAACAAAACATTTTAAACTTTAGAATAAACCCCGTGAAGGTTGAATATATATATATATATGTGTGTGTGTGTGTGTGTGTTCTTATGATGAATGGATATTATTTTGAATGTTATTGTAAACCCCTGAAGTTAGATTATTATCATTAAATGAAAAGCATAACTAGCGCATATTGAACGTAAAAACCACATACATATTCTTGAAGTCCAACTCACAAATTCATACAGAAAGAAGAAAGTTGTCAATAGCATTTATGGAAGGTTATTTTCTTCACTTGGGGATAAAGTATTTAATTTTGCTGGGCTTACTTTTAAGATTTATTTATAAAACATGGCAATTTCAATAACAAACTGTACATCCTATTTTTTAATTGATTGTTTAAAAACTTGGAAAACCCTATCTATATATGAGTTCACCAGCTGTTACACGTCAACCTGTTTCTTTGATATAAAAACACGTATTATTTAAACAAGCTTTTATGGTAATAAAATAACTTATTAAAAATGCCTACTTTTTCTGTTTCAATTCTAATAATGACAAATATAATTTTTTTAAATATAATTCAGATGAAATATTTACTGCTGTTAATAAATAACGTTATATATTTTTCGGGATCAGTGAATTAAATATACTAATTATTCCAACAAATATGGTATTTAAAAAAAACATAAATATGACCTGCCAAAATTGCAACTTAGAGTCATATCAGTCTGAATAGGTCGGTAACGCGATATATTTACTGTGACAATCACGAATAACCTTTCGATATCGAACAGCATAGAGTTGGATTCAGTGCCACAACTAGACCTCATTGGACCCGTGGAGCAATATTTGTGGGGACTTCAGCCAACCAGTAAGATAGGTATTTGCGCCCGTGGTTGGATTAAACACTTAGACTAATCATTTGTGTTGACAGTAGGCATAAAGACAAGAACATGAATGCTTCCCGCCCCTCGGTAGCTCAGCGGTAAATCTGAGCGCTCATAACGCTCAATGTCGGTTTCGATACCAACGGTGGGCACAGCACAGATAGTCCACTGTGTAGCTTTGTGCTTAATAATAAACAACCCGCATGAAAGCCTTGAGATTAAAATGAACGTTGCATACTTGTGTTCGTGGAGATTGAAAATGATTCATAATTTCACTTTGTTCCTAAACAGTGTAACGTAACAAAAACTTGCTTGTAAAAGTTTTGAATTGAGTATTTAATCTTACAAAACCACTTTTTAATTATTGTTTTTCTAAAGTTAAAGTACGTGCACATGAGAGGTTTTTTCCCATTGAAATAACTGCTATTAAGCTATTGATGAGAGGCGATCACCAGGAATGAGACCTAGTATTTTGAATTGCAGTTTTGTAAGAAATATTTACGAAAAAACATAAATAAAGTTTGATCTAAACAAGTGAAACATTAAGTTAAAAAGGATTAGACGTAAGTGGTGTGTAATATTACATTTGGAGCAAAGGAAAATGATGAATTTTCTTTCACCATGAAAACAAGTAGATAACCTCAAGATTTCTTCGGACTTAATGTCATCATAGATGATGGGAGTAAATTTGACAGACCATGAACACGCGTTCTATGCTAGATTAAGTATTAGATTTCTATTGATATTTTCTTTACCAGTTTCCAGTAATTAACACTAACAAAACATAATATCTCAATATTACGTTTTATGGCTACTGACAATAATAATAAATGAAATTGACAATTTTAAATAGAGATAAAGAATTTAATATTTTTTTACATTAAGACCACAAGAAACTGTATGTGTTCATCACTCACCGGCTCTATGTCTTCATGATAATTATTGAAGCCTCCACTGCCGATATCCTGGAATACAAGATTTTCATATTTGTTAATTAGCGTCAAAGCAAAGTTTGCGCAGTGTTTTATAAACTAGCAGCTATGTACATAATACCAACATTTCCTAGACACTAACTAGATGAACTTTTATAGATGTTAAATATTTATATATATATATATAAAAATAATAATGAAAATTCTAATAATAATGATTCCGTAGTGATTATCCTAACTGAAAGTAAATCTCTTAAGAAACTAAAATAAAATGTGATCACAGAATTAAATCCCTGTAAACCACGAGATTGAATCCTCCTGAGTTCAAAACTGGAATTAGACCTCAAATCGGTCAAGAGATGACAGAGCTATGAGCTAAAAGTTGGTATTGCAAAAATATTATTTCAGATTACAAACGAAGCTAAATGTCAAAGATGTTAAGGTATGTAAAAGCACTTGTATAGTACTATTTTGTATGTGTATAGTATTTTCCTATCACAGGAAGAGTTGAAAGATAGATGTTAAGATACGTATTCACTATTTTCTCAATGTGGCAGATTTTCTTACTTCATTTCTAAGCCAATTATTCCGCTTATCACGTTCACCTCTGCCTCACATCACGTACTCTTCGATTCCTTTGTATTTATGGTGAAGAAATTAATTTAGGTCAAGAGATTAAAAATCCAGTAGCAATATTAACAAAAGATTCACAGTTCGACAGAAGCTAATATAGTCAGCGAAAGTTGGATGATTTATTGCAGATGGTTCTTAAGTGTCTAAGTTTTTGATGAACAGACGTTTCACTGCCGCCTGTTAACACTAAAGGATGTTTTCTTACCAATTAACGAGCCTTTTTAAAACTATCTATACTAGAAGAACGGACAAAAATAAAAATTCAATAGTTAATATATTCTGACAAATTTCCAGAATTTGCGAAACTTCCCGTGACTTTCTAAATGTACGGGGGGGGGGGTAAATTAGATACCAGTGCGTTTTTTATGGGGGGGGGGAGTATATCATTTACTATTATCACAACTTCATTTTTATGGATCTCTTCAAATCACATTAACTGGAACAACAACAACAACAATCTTAGAAGATATGATTAATAATATCCATAGTTTGTCACGCCATAAACATCAAATAGACAAAAAAAGGAAAGAGCCAAGAAACCGTCTCTTAAGTTTTCTTCTTTTTACAGCGACTTTTGTGAAGTCTAACCGTCGTAGAATACCATTATATAACTGATCAGATATTTTACTATTAAGCAACAGTTGTGTATCAACACTGTATGAAGATATGCTACTTAGCGTCAATGAATAAGCATTTTTCAGTTGAATACAGAGCCGGAGATAGCTTAATTGGCGCCCTTGATAGAAATTAAGGCTGCACCCCTACTCACACTAGAACCCCCGAAAACTTGGCGCCATAGGCAGTCAGCCGTCTATTTGCCTATCCTTAACGCCGAGACTGGTTGAGTGACAGGGGTATGAAGATAAGATGTTTTGGCGTTGAGCGAGATCGTAGGGGACAGTTACGGTAAAAACTAACAGCGTTGAGCGACAAAGAGTATGATCCGATCATATAACGATAAGCTACTTCAGCGTTGAGTGATGGTCGATTATTGTACAAAAACTGGGGACTGAAATTAAAGGAAAGGAAACTTGATGAAATTATAGAAGAACGTTTACTTTATACTATATTTCTATCACATAACTTTCCTAACAACTTAAATATAAACACACACACACATATATATCTTAGCAGACAGTGGGGCTACCTACCACCCACACTCCTACGCAGCTTGTTTTATCAAACTACGTCTGCAACAGCTCGTGTGAATAACCATGTGAAATATATGAGGTCAGATGGACCTTCCTAACCAGCCGTCTGCCTCCACACTCCAACTAATACTTTTGCTTCTTATTCTCTGAGTCATGTTCTACTTTTCAACTTTCTTATCGGTTGCAGGAGTAAATGAACTTTAGTGTGGCTCGTGCTTAGTCCGCTTGTTTCTTTTTATACGGTATTTTATGCATGCACACGCTTCTTTGAACACGTTTGGATTAACATCACTGTATATATGCAGTATTTTATGAATGTATGCACACGTTTGTTTGAACAGATTCAAAATGTCTCCATACTTACAATATTGTGTTTTTTGTATGCACATGTTTGTTTGAACATATAGACTATGTGTCTTCATTAATAATTATGTTTTATGTACACACACACACTTGTTTGAATTAATTTAGTTTAAGCGTCTCTTTTTATTATCAAATATTAAAATAATGCATAAAATTTACGTATATATATATAGCGTTTGAGGATTTGCGTTTGACACCAACTGCTTCTATTTTCTTTATAATTCTTTCTACATAAGTATACAATTGATTGAACCGAGAAAAACATACCTATTAATAAACAATACTGTTGAAATCAAATTATTTCCAATGATAAACAGCTTGTAATTTTTTTCCTTTCTTACCTACAAACTATTGCTTTTTTCCCCCTTTCCCAATATTGTTAGTTTTTCTTGTCATCAAACAGATTACTTTAAGTACATGTTTATCGTAACACCGTTTTAATCAAAACATTGAAAAGTTAGTTTACGAGTTTATTAATAAAGTGGCTCTGATTTTGAAAGCTTCATTATTACAGACAGACAGACCTACATGAGAGGTCTGTTAGTCCCTTGGGACTAATACTTTTTAGATCTAAACTAAACTAATGTGTTTGAAAATCTCAGAGTTAAAATATACACCTACTACGTTATCAAAATAAGACGGTTACTGTAGTAAAATTGTTAGACACATACCTTATAGCTTATTCACTGAGAGATGTTTCTAAACTATTTAAATTATACAAACAACCTATTTTTAAAAGACCCAACAAAGCACAAACAGGTCACTTCCGGGTTTACGGTATCAATCAACAGGCCAATAAGAACAACACAAGATAGTTCTTTTAAAGTGTGCAGATGGCACT